CGACCTAGCTGTCGATACCAATTCTGAGCTGGACCCGTGAGCAGGGACCCAAAAATGAGACCCTTTTCGCTGTCTGGTGCCTGGTCTCGGAGAAAAGCCGTCTTTACCTTAGTGCTCCAGCTTCTGGCACGATCTTCATCGTGGTCCCTCCCGCTAAATTCCTTCAGATCCGACGAGGCAGATACCCTAATGTGTGGAACAACAGTAGGGGGTCCTCCTGCCGTAGCCGCGGCCACAGTCGCTCGCGCTGAGGTCATCGGGAACGCCAAGTCATCTGGGTCGTATTCATCATGGGTTGACCCCACAGATTCCATGTCGACATCAGGGATATCGCCTAGTGGTCCTAGGTGCTCACTTCGCTGGGAGGCCCTGGGATGAACTGGTCCTTGACCGTGATGTGTCCCCTGTCCACTGCCGCTTTTGTGGAGCCTTGCTCTTCAAGGAACTTGGTCATCGCCTTATCAAAGTACGACAGGAGCGCGCTAGGGGAAACTGACTCGGTCTTTGCTTCCTGACCCGTCTTTGTCCCCATCAACCTTGGCTCCACTTTGCACCGGGCTTCCATCTCTTCCTGTGTTTGGCGCTGGACCCATGGGGTTGCTGTGTCCACATGGCCAGCTTCGCGAATTCGTGCTTCTAACAACGCTGCACCAGCTGGACCCAGTTGCATTCGGTCCACCGTATCAATCAGGGCCGACATCATAGATGAGGTGGCTGATTCGTATTGAGATCTTGGTGATGATTCACCGAGTGACGCAGCAGGGGAGCCCACACCAGGATCCACTACTCCTCCATCTTGACGGGGTACTTCTTTTGGGGGGAACTCCCCCACTAACGTTTTGAGGTGACCATGCAGGGTCACTAAGGTCTTCTTCAAGGTCTCGAACCCGAAATCAAAGAGGGTCTCAGCGGTAAAGTTCCCAGCATCCATCCCAGCTTCATGTAGCAGATTCATTACGGCCTTGAGGACCTCAGGTCTGTGGTCGTGGTGGGAAGAGCCGTTATCGGACCGTGGAGATGGTTCAGAAGCTTGACCTTGAGCGCCTTCATCACCGGGTCCTTTCGAAGAAACTTCTTCAATTTATTCCGATGGTAGGCTTCTTCCAAATCTTCTTCTGTCCAGTCTTTACTAGCCACGCCTTGGCTCTCTCCCGACTCGTCCGTCGTGTCTCCGCCTCTCGGTGCCTTCAACTTGGTATGCTTTTGCTTCTTTTGCTTGTTCTTGGGCACCTTTGGCTCTTGAGTGGTAGGTTGGGAGACTTGCTTCGGGGTCCCTTGTTTTTTAGCTTTCGCTGTCAAACTTGGGACCCCTGGACCATAATATTTATTATGGACCATGTTGTCTTCTTCAACGGAGACATAAGGGGAAAGATTTTGTGGTTTTTCTTTATATTCCACCTTGAACTCAATAGCAGAGCTCCTCCCCGGGCTCTGCAGGTCCTCCGATCCTTCTTCCTTCTTGATCACTGGCGATCCGGTTTCCAGTGTCTTGGTCATCCCTTGGTCTGTCTTGACCGTTATCTTTTCTTCTTCGTGAGACTCACGGTGAATCCCGCGTCTCCCTAAGATCCGGGCACGCGCACCATTGTGGTGGAGTGGATTCTCAAACAACGTAGGAGATTCACAAACACACACAGCGCCGGACTGCCGACTTACGGAGGGGGTACCCCGATACCGTGTCGAATTGGCCTTGGGTCTCACCTTGTGTACCCGTCGGCTTTGGCTGGTCTTGCTCCTCGGTTGACGCAGAAGACTAAAGACTTAGTCTTTGTATAGGACTTGGACTTGGTGGTCCCCGAGTGGATATACTTCACTTGGGACCGGGTTTCTTGGGCTCAATCGACTTAGTCGAGAGCGATGCACCTGGTACTATGTACCCCTTTGGTGGCTGACTGTTCTTGGTCCTTGGACCCCTTTGTGTTCTTCCCCGTAGGGAAACCGCTTCCTGTAGCGGGTCGTAGAGTGTTGACACTTACTTGACACCCCAGGCCAACTATCCTGAGGTTCAACTTGCGTTGCTTGAGCCGTCTAACACCTGCTGGACGTCGGGGGGCCAAAGGGTATCCCGCCCGGAAGAGGTGAAGCGACGGAGAAGCTTAGGAGGGGCGCTTAAAGCTGCCACGTGTAATGCAAATTCGAGTGTGTTTATTTACCTTATACTTTGTATGCTTTTCTTGCCTACCCTTAACCCTTTGATCTAGATAGTGCCCCGTGTGGACTCTTGGAAGAAGAACTGGCTCCATGTTACCTGCACTTTCTGTAATCTTCGATATTCTGTGTACCGATTCTGCACCCTCGGACATTAGGGCCCTGGGTCCCTGGGTCCCTGGGCTCCTGGGTCCCCGGAACCTGTTTCCGGGACCTGGGGCCTGTGCTGACTCCGCACGTATGGGTCCTTATATTCTTAATACGGCGGGGCCTGGTGTGCGGTTGTAAATCCGCGAGGCCGGGTCGTGGTCACTCCCTCGGGGAAGTGACCAGAAGTTCTCTTGCTCTCCGTTCCATCTCCCTTAAACTCCAACTTTCCCTACAAAACCGTGCACAATGCGCCAATCGCCGGTGGATTTCTTCACAAGAAAGTCGGGCTCAAATGTGGCAAGATACTCTCGCTGGGCATGGCCAGCCTTGCGACGACCCTTAAAATATCATCAACAGCGACGACTTGACTACGCGGTAACGGAGAAAGAGCCGCTTACTGTCAGCAATGTATAGTTGGACAAACCTCCTTGCATACCCGGCCTCCGGGAGGAGCACGCCCATACGATGGTATAGGGCGCCTTGCAGTCGGAACGCGTGTAAGCCACCTTAAGTAAGGCGATCATTCAGGTTTACACTTAAAGACGTAGGAAAGAGTGTGATATTGTACGCACAATAATTGCTGGAAAGCGCGGGCGATATGCATCTGATCCCGCAGCGGCTAAGGTGGCTGCGTAATCATGGAATATTAGCCATCTTGCCGCGGTAACAGCACATGGTGTACTGCAAGTTTGTTAGGGTTGAGCTGGGCGTATGCACTCGCGTTTCGATCCAATACAGAGCGGCGCAGTCGCGGCAGATTACATCTGCCCGGTACAGCACATGGCGTTGCGTCGGCAAGTCAGCAGGAGTGGACCAGCATACGACCGGGACGTCCGGTTCCGACGCGCGCCTAGCTTATGAGCCACTTGATTGCGCTCGTGCTCTACCGCTTCGTCCCTGTAAGTCATTTTGACTCCTCGTGCCGCGTTTTCCAATCGATTATGCTCGCGCTCTTCCTATTCGTCCTCCTCCGGCTAAGCGGCTTGGTGCTGTGCCACGCGCTTACGCTCACACTTCCTTACACCACGTAATTTACCATTGATTGAAATTTCGCTCCGTCATGAACGTTGCGCACAACGCGTCGCCGCTTCACTTGCCGGTGTGCGGCACGCTGCTCTTCCGTCTCCTGGCACGCTGTCGAGCACATCCTTTCCGGATGACGCGACCGTGGACTTTTAATCTGAAAAGGAGCACGATGTATGGAATGAATTCTGTTATGGGGATCTTACTGCATAATTAATCATTGAATGCAAAATTAGCCAATAAGAATGCAGGGAAAGGGAATTTGAATAATATAATGCACATTTAGCCAAATAAAATGCCAAAAAAGAGCACAACGTACGGAGTATTATTTTTTATTAATGGATATAAATATATAGATAGGAAACCGCTATGGCCACAGACATTAATACTACGGCCACAGACAAAACAACTAGGGCCACAGACAATTGACGAAGCCAATCAAAGCTTAGATAATTGAAATGATAACTATGCGAAACAGACAATCAAGTTACTTGTTTACTTTTACACAAGAGCTTCTGCTTCTTATCCGTGCACGTTCCTGTAGGTGAGAAAGACAGTGCATTCTGTCCAGTCTAACACATCCTGAAGCTCGTTTTTACTGCATCCAACGTCTCTTCTGGTCGCGGACGAGCATCTCGAGTCTAATTCTTAGTGTAACGTGCAAGAATGTCATTTCTCGCATTTCTCGCGGTGCTATCACGTTCAAACGAATGCAAATCAACGCTACAATCAGCGGTATATTGTTCTAGCGAAATAAATGGTCTTTTTTCTTACCGTCTAACTGCTATCTATGCATGGAATAGGAAATACTGTAGGGACCCGGATGTTGGAATGGAGGTTGTTGTTGATGAGATCCTCCACAGGGAAACGTTCCACTGCTGCAAGATGTTGCGAGTGAATGTAAAGGATCAGATGTTGTCTGTAAAGAGAGAGATTATTGATAAGAAAGCTTTGAATATCTCTGTATATTATATGAATTTAATGCATAGCTTTTCCTTTCGCTTCTCGTTCAACACCTTTGAAGGCAGTCAATAATTGCACTGTATTTCGCCTCCTGAATCCTTGTTTATCTGACATGACGGTTTCGATCTACGCCACTACACGCCACTACGATCGCGTTTTCAATAAAAAAAACTAATCGTCCATCTCGTTGCTTGTATGAAAATTTGGTGCGTATTCATCGACATTTGCGGTGGCTTCCATATGCATATGTTCTTGCATTTATCTTCCGCTTAATAAATTGCTTGTATTGATGCTTCATGTCCATGCTTGCTGTAAGTGCTAAAATGTACAAATGCCAGTGAAACATGTACAGGCCTCTTTACATACGGGTTAATCCTTAAATATGGTAAATAGCTTGTTTACGGCTTAACCAAATTACTATATACGGATCACGTATTATTTATCTCAAAAACTGAAATAAGCATGATAATGCTAAGTACCCTGTTCAATTCAGGGCACATGGAGGCTTAGCATTTTCGTTTGCTTGCTGCAACACTAAAAGACAGTATTCGCACGACTATTATCGAGCGAAAGGTCAATAATAGTCGTGCGAATACTTTTAATATTCAAAATTTTGAAAAATCAGATTCAACTTGACTTGTACCGGGAAACACAGTAGCAACTCCACCACATAATCGTTGAAAATACGTAATCCTGTCTTTGACAACACCCCATGATTAATCAAAAGTAATCTCTCCATTGAAGGGGTCTAATGTCGGCTTAAGAGCAGGTTCACATCTTACGGCAATTAACATCTCGCCGTGCTCCTGCTCAATTAAATCGATCTCTTCGAGTGTCCAACGCGCCAGAAGGCGCTCCTTCTGACTCCTCGCAATCGCACTGAATTCAGAGGTGCGAATTAAAACCAGGTCTTGGGGTACAACCGGTGGAAGTTTAAAGTCCTTTAAATTCGCGCCTCGATTATTGGGATCTCGCTCATCCACAATCCTATTAATACCGTTCAAGGCATTGTAAAACAAAGTCGAAAAGTTTTTTACAACATCTTTCATTTGTACGTCATCCATGGACGCAAGGATCTCAGACACGACTGAACCCTGATCATCACTGAAACTCTTCACTTCGACGAGACTGGCAGCAAAGTTTTTGGAGGTCGATACATGCCATTCATTAGAATCGAGTGTGTCCGCCTCACCACCATCCGCCAGGAATGGACCTTTAGCGCTGACGCATTCGATGTAGAACAACATCAAACTCTTTAAATGTTCTCGTTGCATCGAAACGTTACTGAGTGTCCTTGGAGCTGCTTGAATGTCACCGTCGCGCGTGTTGCAAAGGATTCAGCAATCATGATGTAAATCCACCAACGGTCGGACGGCGTGCACGCCGGGTTCCTTTTGGGCCAAGTAGACTCGAACACGGACACGTTTGACCTAGCCATCGACCTTGCTCATTGATTTCCAACGGGAGGTAGAGAGTTTTGAAAAAGTTGTTTTCATTTCGCTGATCAGGTTTTGCTGTCGACGAAAGTAGAAAATGATGGAGGTCAATTCTCCATAAATTTGTCATCACCGAAATGGACGTAAACGTCTTGTAATACGATGTCCAGCTGGTGCACGCCACACCAAACTCGAATGAAACCAGGCTTTGCAACATTTGAAATCTACTGACACAACATTTAGAAATCTACTGACACAACCGGCCTGTCATTTTGTTTTCGCCATCTGAAGAGGTGCCAATAATGATGTCACGCCTTGAGGCAGCATAGCCTCGAGCGCTTTACAAGCAGTCGAGAATATGACCTCGCCAGTGTGTCGTTCGTACACTGTAATCGCCAAAAATTGGACATTTAGAATACCATAATGAATGATATATAAACGGAGATGGATGTCCAGATACGAAGTGCTCATGTGTGTCGACATATATAGTGCAATAGAAACGTACAAGACTGCTTTTACAACTTTGCAATCATTTGTAAGTTGATGGTAACAGCGAACCTAGAATACTTCGCTACAGTTGTGTCACTGGCACACTCAATCGAAGCTAACCTGTTAAGCCCTTCGTAGACAGCAAAATACGAGAGCTCTGACGAAACGTGCATGCAGATGCCAAATATCCAACTCAAGATCAAATTGCAGGGAAGTTTTGATATCAATGCGGTAGCGGTCAACACCTTCTCCATCTTTAGGCCTTCAGACCCGTCAGCAATGTTAACGAACGGCTTCATCATCTTTGTATGAATCTCGCCCTCAACTTCGTCTGGATCTTAAAGCACTTCTCCAATAATTTTGTCGACAATTGGCGCGTTAATTGTATGCTGCCTCGGCACCTACTGAAATCCAAAATGTAAATGTAAGGTGTGCTTAATGAGCTGGACATTCTAAAAGATGCCCTTCTTGAATTCATTAGAGAGGCCTAGGTACTCCTGCCACCTTTTGGGGTGCTGTAGTTTGAGGTGCTGCGTGTAGTTGTCTGCTCGGAATGGGGTCAAGGAATACTTGGTGTTAGTAGTTCTCGTACGCTTTGCGCATGGCTTGCTCTATCGACCGAAGTGAATACAGAAGATACATTCCACTGAGACGACAGTGCGATCTTTGGTGCTCCTCTGACAGACTCGAACACCATAATTTAGCGCATGGTCATTTTGAAAGGGAGTCTCGCTTGTTCTTCAATGTGTATAAGCTTTTTTTCCACGGGTTGTTGCGGTTTTAGGGCACTATAATTGGTTTAGTTGGTAGTCGCGAAGGATGAGGGTCTTTTTAGATTGTGTAAATTAATTCTGGGTCCCGTTTCTTCGTCCAGTACCTTTTTCTAACAAGATCCTCACGGACTCGCCCACTCGCTTATTTAATTTCCCAATTCTAAATATGCCAAGTTTCTAGCCATGTCTAAACCAGGTTATTTACGGCTCGCCAGAAATATTATTTATGGCGTAAAATCCGTAAATAACCGGATATAAAGAGACCTGAACATGTATAACACCAGCTAGAATCTCATTTCGACCAATGATAATTATTATTATATTTGACTTTTTGAGCTGTGATTGGCTGGGATGATTGTCTGTGGCTAGTATTTATGTCTGTGGCCATAGCGGTTTCTTAGATAATATATGTTATATTGTCGAAACAGAGTGATTGATACCTATGCGCCAGAAAACGTTGGCAAAGCATTTCCATAAGACACGCAAAACCAACCTAAATTGCGAAAACGAGAAGTTCTTTAGAGTCAATCAAATATTTTTCTTAGCCTAATGTTGACTACGTCCTTTGAAATATTCCACCGTTCCAAATGAAGTAGCCACAAAAGTATCAGTACCGTTGTATAGCCTTTGTAAAAACGGGCTTTCAAAGTCAGTCTATTGTCGAGGAAACAAATTAAACTGATTTCGACAACGCCTCGTTTAAGTCAAAGTCAAACTCTTCTGCCTTTTCGCCGGTGGCTCGTTCAAGTCGAAGTCAATCTCCATCTGCCTCTTCGCCGGTGGCTCGTTCAAGTCGAAGTCGAACTCCTTCTGCCTTTTCGCCGGTGGCTCGTTCAAGTCGAAGTCGAACTCCTTCTGCCTTTTCGCCGGTGGCTAGTTCAAATCGTGGTCACCCTCCTTCTGCCTTTTCGCCGGTGGCTAGTTCAAGTCGTGGTCACCCTCCTTCTGCCTTTTCGCCGGTGGCTCGTTCACGTCAGAATCATTCTGCCGTTTCGGAGGGCCTTCATACAAAAGATGAGACCCGTCGCTAAAAGTCTTGCAGACTTTTAGCGACGGGTCTCATCTTTTTGTTTTTAGCATTTCTTCCATCATTTAGAATACTGTTGAGATCATCCTTGTAAGCAAGTTTGAGGACGGAGAGCATCGTATTAGTTGCTTCCACATCATTCGACGATATTGACTTGACGAAGTCAACCCACGTAGAAATGACCGGACTATCGAAAAGCTTGCTCTCTGTCAGGCGCAGATCCAAAATGTCGAAAACGTAAGCCGCGTTTTTCTTATCTTCTTTCCACTCATTAATCTGACAATCAAGTAACTTTTGAGCAGCAATTGTCTGTTTACCAGAGGTTTTTGCGCGTTCTAGATAACTCACCAGAGCAATTTTGCTCTGGAAATAAGATGACAGAATGTCTAGTGTCGCCTTGTATGCTTTTTTTGATACATGGTATCGTGTCATGACGAATTTAAACCACCGAGAAAAAAACGGGCTTTCCAAAGGGTTGCCATTCGAACCCTGGAGCTGCAAAAGGTTGAAAACTTTTTTGTCAGTTATTTTGTCGAGTGCCCACTTCTTTGCCTGTAGGTCCAGCACATTTGTAGCTACTTCTTGAATTCTCGACCTATGAAGATTTGCTTTTGCGACCAGACCTTTGGCCAAGTTATCACCCGATAAATGTTTTGCTAAATAGTCAAACATCATGTTCTTTCGCTGAACTTTAAAGTCTCCAGCCCAGGGGTATTTGGCCTTTACGAACGTGACCCACTGGGTAAAGATTGGGCTTTCGAAAGGATTGCACTTGGTTTCTGGAGCTCCAAAAACTTGAATATCTCTGCCTCATCTCGCCCGTCGTTTACCCACTTTTCAATCTGTAAATCTAACAGTATCGTAGCGATGTTTTTTTCAGAGAGCCTTCCTCCCTCAATTAGAGCCTTCGCCAGAGCATAATCGTCCTTCTTAAAATGTTTGGTCAAGACGGACAACATGTGTTCATTTGCCTTTTCCGAGTCACCGTGGTACCTTGACTCGACAAAATTTACCCACTTGGGAAAGAGTACGCTTTTAATAGGATTGCCATTCGTCGGTGAGAGTTGTAAAAGCTCAAAAATCTTTGCCGGATCGCTCTCCATTTCTGCCCACTTTTCGAGCTGGAGATCTAGCAGTTCCAAAGCAATGTGATTCATTGTGTCAGTCTTTGTTCCCGCAACTAGAAGACGGGGAAGATTATCGCCCTGAAATTGACTTGCTAATGTCACAAAAATCACCTTACTTACAATTTGCTGGTTCATCGGAAATTTTGACTTAACATATTTTTCCCGATTGAGAATAAAATCTTCTTCAGAAAGTTCGCGTTTTTCCTTGGCGCGGATTAGATCAGTAAAATGAGTATTCATGGCTTCGATCTGAGGTGGTAAATTTTCAATCTGCTGGTCCTCCTTCCTGGATGCATGAAATTCCTTAAGTATGTCTACGATTCCCACCGGTGCAGTCCTCTCCTCGGGGACGTAAGTATAGTAACTCGAATTCATGCTCATGCTTGTGCCCGAGATGGGAGTATTCGTCATATTCCATGTAGCGGGCTCGACACTGCGAATGACATGCACAGGCATCGGAGAGGCCTCGGTTACAGCTGACCATGCAATCAGCGCGGTAACAATCAGCATCATCGTGGGCTGCGCTTGACGTAGTGCACAGTAGTCTGGCAGGCAAAACGTAAGGTGGAAAGACTGGGTGTGACCTCAACTGGATGCCGAAACCCTGAATTGGTTGGAAGAGTAAACATCAATACCGCCAAACTCGCCTGGCTATTCTAAAGGGTATTGACCTTTCTTGCTCTATCGTGAAAGTGTCTCATAGGACAGAGCACATCGCGAACAGTATCATTATCGTCAATACGTAGGACAAAAAGCAGCGTTTACATTCTTTACGGATAGTACCAGTGCTATGCGGTAATGTCGACAGTGAGGTTTCAAGGAAATCAGGCTGGTGTTGGGTGCCAAACTGTGGCGCATGTGTTCGTTGACAAAGCGCACCGTAGGAATTTGACGGGTGTTGAATGATCCTATCAGCTTATTAAGCTATAGTGAGCAGCAAACTTGACGTTTCGATGTTCGAGATGATGAAAGCCGAGTTGGTCAGATCGACTCAACGTTAGTAATTCCCTGTCTATGTGTGATATGGACAGTAGCACAAAGAAACCACAGTCACAGTTTAGGAAATGCTATGTGCATGCTAAATTTTCATGTGTGGTAGTGGTGCTCTACTTCACCTACCTTCACTGTAGGAGAGATCATCTGTTCTGCGCTGGACGATGCAAAGGCCAGAAGGCTCAAGTTGTAGGCATCACGAAATGTATGTTTTTAGTTCCATTTTTGACCTCCAAATCACTAGAGCTACAAGAGAAGGAAAAGCTCTGTCATGCAGCCAGCATTCCGTCTAGCGCCTGCAACGGTCATAACAGTCACTTACAAGTGCGCTGCCGTCCACAGAGTTTTACACACTGAAACGCGGCGCTTCAAAGCTGTCGACATCGTACATTAGCTGTCCTCAGGGCGTGTTCACTATACCCAAATTTGCAAGAGCTCGGACCTGGCACATGCTCTGGAAGATCTTGTCCTTAGCTCAGCCAGCGACATGTTAAATGTTCAGCGACAAGACAAGTCGCAGATGCAGATGCAGATAATCGTGTAAAGTATAGATAGTGCTGCAGACACAGCTGCTAAGTTTGCACAGGTCTTGTACTTTGATTGCTGGCTATTTAAATGCATTGTAGCTGCCGCTGGTATGCCAAAGTGAGCGCTGGAAGAAGTAAACCATTCCGAACGGGGCCCTTCGGTTGCTATTGCGCGACCGATGTCTGAGCTGTGTCTCAGAACCAAGTACGTGGTAACGTTAACGTCAACTTTATGTACGCAATTGCGTCACTGAAAAGTGCGCTGCGCTCGTACGATGGAACGGCCACTGCTTCCTCCAAGGCTCTTGTCGTCATCGGGAGATATTTAGGACAACAACGTGACGGTCCGGGTAAGGGATTAATGTGCTTCTAAGTACAGCATTTGTATACCAAGTACACCATTTGAATACTAATACAGAGATGAAATGATTGACATGACGTTGGGTAGAGCATCTACACACGGGTTTTTGAAACCACAGAGACAGCTCTTGCGCTCGTAAACAGCACTATCGCGTGCACCTCCTCGGCGTCGCATGTTTGAAGCCCCTGCCCGTCTCAACTCCTGGCGTTTCTGCCTTGTATTACAATGGTGACTCGTAAGATTGTGAAGTCAGCTCTCCGTGCCCATCACATGCCGTCCTATTTACGCCATGTTGAAGGTACATTTCAGAACCGATGTGACCAAAATTTGTCTTTTTAGGCTCTTTTTCCATCTGTTGACACTCCACTTCGTAACATTGTGCTCTACTTGCATGGAATTGGTGACCACAGTCGTCGCTATTTTTATCTCTATGAACGTCTTTGCAATAGTAACTTTGGTGTTTTAGCCTATGACATGTTGAGTCATGGAATGAGTGACTTGGATTTTCATGGATTAAGGGCCCATAGTGCCAAATTCCAGTACTTTATCGATGATACGAACGAGTTTATCACCATGGCTAAGATGCAATTGTACGAACAATTGGAAATTACCTATTCTACTGATGAACCTAAATTGATTATATCGGGCATGTCGTACGGCACATTGGTGAGTCTTCACACCATATTGAGTGGGAAACATGACTTTAGCGGTGTCGTACTTGTTGCTCCAGCCTTGTTGGCCGAAATGACAATCATGTTAAAAGTGCAAGCGTTCTTTGCTTGGTCGTTAAGTAAACTCATCCCGAAAGCAAGAATCGTGCCAGGAGTTAATCGCGACTATGTATGCAGAGACCAGGACTATCTCGATGACTTTATGGTGGACCCGGTGACAATCTTGAAGCCAATAATTGCGAGAATGGGAGCGGAGACATTGAAGGCTATGAGAGCTTTGGAAGTGGACGAGAGAGTGGAAGACCAGGGCAGTGCACTGTGCAAGCTACCTGTGTTGATGATGATGGGGTCGAACGATAAATTGACGAGTTTAACGCTATGCCCAGGTGTTTTACGAACGACTTGCGGCGAGTGAAAAGGAGTTTAAGTTTTTGACGAATACTTCCACGCACTTTTTGATGATCCAGAGCATGAGGCAGTCTTTAGCCATCTAGAGAATTGCGAGCAAGTGGAGGTATCTATTTGCACCGCCATCCTCGGCAAGCGGGGGACTACTGTCTACACGCAGTAGTCGTGTTTCTTGGCGCTGAGAACACCGTTGGGGTTTAATGAAGACTATACCGGAATCGGTTGCTGGAGTCTCAGCGTCACCATCCAGCTTAATAAGGCTATTTCACACCGTCACGAAAGTATGGCTTCAAGCTTCTGTACAATTGTGATTCGCGAATAGAAAGTGTTGTTGGTACAGTTATGCCGTGTTATTTGCAACACTTGGTGTGTGGAGAGTCTACTTCTTGCACATTTTTTAATCGAAAAATTAACACGCTTGAGTTGCACAAATTCCAGAACATGATCGATAGTCACACAGAGCAGACCATGGAGCACAAAAAACACTTGCCAATCGATGTCGGGTCTATCGGTACGATATTGCTGCTAATGACGTAGAATGGAAGAATAGTATTCCGGCCGAGACGATTATAAGTCAAGCGACTATCGTAATCGTAACTACATTCGACATTGCATAATCGTTCTTAAATGATGCAGTGGGAAGGTCAAATCGATACTTTATCCAAACCAAATGATAGGAAACGCAACATGGACAGTCTGTTCCTACATACTCTAGAAACCCCTTTGCAGTACGACCAAGTTTACCGTACTTATGGCAACCCTATGAAAATATGCAGCCATTAGACGAAAAGGCCAAGGAATGGTACTCACAGCAAGCAACATAACTCGTTCGCGTCCTTCAACAACGGATAGTGTGTTCATTATTATTGCCAAAGTGCCTGGTGATAGAAAATTCCCTCTGAAGTTGCTATCTCACGCAAATACATGCTCATCTAAACCTAGCGTATGAAAAGCTCCACAAGCCACCTGAGTGATCGTCTCCTGCTCTAAGGTGAACACACGCTGTGAACGGCTCACTCATCGTAAATCAGTTGGTAGAGGACTCTAGATGGAAGAAAAACGTGTATTGTTCCCGTGAGGGTTGATCTCAGAATGAGATGTATAGAAGTGCAGTTGTGTTAATTTGCCTGTAACAAATAATGATGTAGATCATGACATTACGAAAGAAGTTAAAAAAGGTTATGAAGAATCTGGGGCCTTGGTGGTAATACCACTGTTGACTTAGAGTTTCAACTATGTCTCCATCAGCAAGAGCGTATTCCAAACGGCTACCGGAGCTGTCTCCCTATAACCGAAGCAACCAATTGCTGCCCACCGCTTCATTGAAGTACGTTAGTATCACCTTTGTGTATTTTTTATAAATAACGAATTCAAAGAATGAACAGCAAGCAAACGACCTGATGAGGCATCACCTTCCACTTCGCGACTATCATAAATCGGCAAAGAATACTCATCAATTATTGATATGCTTCTCATCGACGTCACATCACTGAATTCAAGTCCCATTTTTCGCCCATCTTTCTATTTAATTAAATCACGAGTAAATATAGAATCGACTAGAGAACGTTTTTGCTCAGTCTCAGTCCCTGTATGTCGTCGTGCAAGCTCCACGTTCTCCACAGCCTTCATAAGATCTCACCGAATCTTACAAGCAGCCCGAACGCAGTTCGACTCTGAAATCATTTGGAAGCAGCGACTTCCAGCGTTTCTGTCTTGCGAAGCGAGTTCTAAACAGACCTTGCAGTCATTTTTGTGATCCTCACGCTTCAGGAAATACTTGATAGCCACTTGAAAGTTTGCGATAATAAAGCCTAGCGCTGTCGTGTTTAAGTGAAGGAAATGGTAGTCGAATGTGTACTTTATCACGGCTGCAATCGGAAATGGTGTGCTGGACATATTTCCTCCGTTAATCCGTGCGTTACATGGTAAAATGCCCGCATTACCACAAACAGTAGCTGGTCAAAAATATCGTCTGTCGTCAATTGGTAAATGTCTGCAACAACACGCATTTAAACGTATTAGAGATCGATACGCATGAAAAGCCATCAGAAACACCTAGTACCAGAGTCTACGCAGCTTGACGTTCCGATTAATCGCGTCAATAACTTGAACAATGCAGGTTTTGAATAGCAGCATATGCAATGGTGTCTTCTTTTCAGCAGCGACAATAAGTGTACCTCACGCTTCCGCCGCAAAGCTCTATACATAGTAAAAAAAACAAGGTTTACTAACATCCAACCATAACAGTTCGTCTGTTTTGCACATAGCATTGATATCTCACTTAAAATTCCATACGGAGTCTACAATCTTTAAGAGTATAGTGTCTTATATGACATATGGCTTAAAGCAGCTTCTTGTCCATGTTGTAACAGCTTGCCACGTCTATTGGAAAAATCAAGTCATGCCAACTCTCCATTAAGTCAACAACGTGTTGAAGCTGTAGTAAATGACTATTTCCGCCTCCATGTTTTCTCTGTAGTTGATCATCCTCTTCGACATTATCCAAACTCCCTGCATGGGTCAATATATTCACTGCAGCTTCCCACTCTTGTCTTAAGCCTACTGGCAACGTCTCTTGTACCTCTTATACACTTGTTCGTGAGCACAAGTTCTGTGTACTTGATTAATTGTTTAATCTAATCAGCAAAACACCAATCTGCTCTCAGGGAATGATCGTACATGGCTGTATACTCTATAAAAGTCGCAACGTCAATTTCATGGAATCGTCTAGGATCTCGATGCCCCCTTCCAGAGGTCGACTAATGTGCAATACGGTCATTATTTGGTAGAGAACCTCCGTATTCTTAGACACCATGATTCTTACTTGTCTACGATCATTAGAACCATTCTTCGTATGGACATAAGTTCCAGGACACGTACTTGCTTTTACCTAATTTAACACAATGTTATAGTGATTATTACTCTACTATTTCTACAAAAAGATATCGGATAGTATACGTACCATTAAGTGTACGATACTCGCCAGTTCATCGTCAGTAGTCTTTAGATGCGTTTATATCACGTCTTTCAAAAGCAGATCTGTAGTGCTCACTAGGTGGTTAATTTAATACTACATATATATTTTGTCCTTAGTTCGCCAACAAGTGCTACATCTAAGCCACTCCTATAAAAAGCTATATCATACTCAGCCGTAAGCGCGCCCATAATCAACCGTCATCATGTCCATAATCGTGCATCTATCCAACAGGCGCTCAGCGATGCGATAGTGTACCTCACCTTCAACATGTCCATCTTCAACACGTCTCGGGTTACTATTTCATTCACAAGAAGCGAGCGGGGCTGAGGTACGCAAAAAACAAACAATGCAGAGGTAAAGCGCGCTGCGTCTGCTTTAAGTCGACGACCAACGCAGAAAAAAGGCACCCATAACGAAGTACAATGAACAAATATAAACGACGATTCGTGTGGGCCACATATAATATAAACTGACAATCATTCTGCGGTTCTCGTGCTGCTTAGAGTACGCTGTCACCATTAACTGCCATTTCATTGCATCTGGTGTCAATACACTCCGTTCCGCGCAGGATACTTTAATCAGCGAATGAATTTAAACTTTAATAATACAATATTGATGTACTCTATAATCCGATTTTAAACATGTGATTTTTATATGATTTAGTCTCAAGTTATAACGTTCATGAATGTTTGTAGTTGTCGCCATGTTCAGTAAGACCATCATTCTGTTTACATCTTGCCTTGATTTTGCAATTATCATCTCTTATTTAGCAATCCTTTTCCATCCCATTGACATTTCAAGTGAAGGTCAGTCAAACCACAGTTGAACGAAGCCATTGCGTACTTCCAAGCGAAAATAGAGGACATTGTGCTAAAGACAAGGATGAGAATATACTGAGACTTGCAGTAGCTGTTGCTGCTGGATAGCACCTCTTTTCAGACCCTTACTTTCCCCCTTTTTTAGCTGTTTGGATCCCTAAAATGTCGTTCATAGCGTCGGATAGAGCGGCATTTGTCGATCAATTCAAGGCGTCAAATTGACGAGACGAAGAAAAAAAAGGACATTGGAATGAAGAAGATTGAAATGTCAAGATGGTCTTGAATTCAGCATTGGAATAAGTGAAAGAAAAGAGAAGACGACTAAGGACGAGACCTCAAAGAAGAGTTGAAGTTTGTAGCACGCGTGGCGCGTCATCGTCTGCAAGTAATGACACACTGACGTCATTTACTAAAACAGATGGTATTGAAAGTGACGTGAAGGAGACGATGAAATAAAAGAAGACGATGGAAGAGAAGCAGAAAATTTGGAAGAGGTGAAGAATATTGAGATGGAAGAAAAGGAGACGAGTGAAGAAAAAAAGGATACAGAGTAGACAAGAACGATGATCAAGCAATAAAGGCCACTGCTTTTGATTCTCACGCAATGAGTAGTAAGACAGCCAACGACGGATTCTCGTGACCCTGAATCTTTTTCTATCTCGCGTGCGTCAACGCGAATCCGAAAACGCACGAGTATTGCCAGTGATAGTACTGGCTCTGCAGCTCCCTGTTTTTCCTCGCGCAACTCTCGAAAACGCATGCGCATCGTATTTGTATCTACTGCGTCCACGACCGAGAAAGTTAGTGATTTGAAAAGTCTTGACGCCTCAGGTTCTAAAGCAGGCACGAAGTCACGTGAACAAAGAAAAACGACCAAGGGTTCAGCAAATGTACACTGGCAAGCAGACGTCAACTCTTACTACCAGCAACACGTATCAGCTCACGTCAGCAAAAACGACGAGCTGCGGCAGCGGTGGCCGCCACAGATAGGACTGGTAGTGGTAATGAAGAAGAGCATAGTGGTTGTGAGGCTTTTTCCCTCGGTCGCGGAAGATGAAGGTGACGATGCTAATGAGAAGAATAAGAAGACAATAAACGTTGAGCAGGAGTAGAACAGTCGACCGCGAAGAAGAAAAAAGGCAGCACCAAAAATGAGGTTTCGACAACAAGGTCTAAGACATTGTTCGTCAAGTTTCTTCTACTCAAATTCACTAAAATCATATCAAAACTACGCACGTGCTTCTCAAACAGCAAAATAAAATAGTATGGGGTCGTACGGGCCGCAAAGAACTTCAATCGCTGTCGATATTTCCACAGCTCCTTTGAAGTCCACAAAAGCTCCTGAACGCACATCACGCACGTTCACAGTGTAAGAGTGGCTGCCTCAATGTGATTGTTTAAGAAGACAGCGATATTGCCGTTCATCACTGCCTTCTCTTCATCAATAAGCATCAGTTTTCCATACTGGCCATTCTCGGCATGAAGGCTCCACCACTCCCCGTAGTCACGAAGTGCGAGTATACTAGCACCTTCAAGCATACCTTCAAGTGTCTCCTAGATAGACTGAATGGAATTTACGAATCACTTTCACGTTCTGGTCTGACGTAGCGTAAAACTTGTTGAGGGCGTAGGCCCCTTTCTCCGCGAGCTTGCTGAAGAACAGTACCTTGGTGAGCGTGTTCAAAACTAAAGCCGTGCCGATAGCTCCAAAACCATCACGACAGTACGTAGCAATACATTAAGCACGTGATTCTATCTTCAAGACGAAGATGGTTCGGCATTGATGGGAATCCGATCGAGTGATGACCGATTACAAAAGATCCAACTCTCGTGCAAACTCTACAATGTCGTCACCGATAGTACGAAATACAAGCTCCACATCGAGCTCCTCTTTGCGTCGTTTTGGGAGACGATTAGTTTGATAGAAATTGTAAAAAAAGATGGCAACAAATAGTACCGTCCTTGACATCACGCTTTCTGTAGTCAAGGCTTGGGCATCAATACATCCAGTTGCTTGGAAGCTCCACGTTGTTTTAGGTAAGAAAATTGGAGCTTTTGCATCACGTCTTAGAAGGTTTGTCGGACACGAATACCAGGAGCAGTGTCCCCACCAGGAATGGGAATGAGGTGACGGATTCCACGCGTAGGACGTGATCCCGACCCCCATTTGACGCTGACGCTCACGTCGAAGCTTCTCATTATAGCTCATATTATCTTCTGTGTTGCCTTTACCCGGTGATGCCGCAAGAAGCGACACGCGGCGAGAGGCCACGTCCAGTGCATATAATTGACGCGAGAAACTGCTTTGAGGCCCTGGAGCGTGCAAGAAGGCCATGATACGACCGTCCGGACTAAAGCTTACGTTGACGGGAGAGTTAAGACCCGGTGTGGGCATCCTTGCTACGTCTTCGAGTGATATGGACTCGCGTGCGGCCATTATCATCGAGTGGGGCGATTGAACTCGGACGTGGTTTGAAGACATATTTTCAAACCACGTCCGAGTTTAAACTAGCGATTGTCCATTGGTAACTGAAGTTCTATGGACGAAATATCGAGTAAAGATTATCAAGTTTCCCAGCGTTAATTGGCCGAATTTGACAAAAAGTATTGATTTTAGAGCGCTACAAATTGGACAAAACTATAATTCGCATTAATGACACGTCACTACACTCAAGATGTTCAATTCAATGGCCACAATGATTGCACCATGGAACGTTTACTATCTCCAGTCTCGATACCTTCTCCTCCGTTCCCTGACGCCGAGTTAGAGCTGATACACGCTTTAGAAGAAGAAATATCAAGAAAAAAGAAGAGGAAAAGAAGAAACAAGAGAATTACAAGAAAAGTGCCATTCCTTCGAACGAAGAAGACGACAACTATGATGAATCTGACGAAGAATAAGAAATAATGACAAAAAATCAAATATATATATATATATGACATTTGAAACTTTCGCTCGAGTAAAGTCCACTTTATTGGTTTAATACGTGTCATTATACTTATTATATCAAACCAAGGTTTTATTACCTTCGCTAGGAGAGGTGGGTAAGATTCGTTCTGAAAGACTATTAACTTCTCTTTTTGGAGAGGTCGGATGTGCTTTCCAATACCCGGGGCCCCAAGAGTACCGGAAAGTCTTGCGAGTCCGTTCAGTATATGATACTTAACGGGGAGGTCTAGAAGGGTACGTGGTACATTCGACCTCCCTGGGTAAGGCACATCCATGTGACCTTCCTCATGATGTAATATCCATGGATGACTTCGTATTCAACGGGTATGACGCCCAGTTGGGACTAGGCTCTATGGTGACGTCGCAGACGGACCTCATCAGCGAGCTTAAATATATTTAAGCTCGTACGTAGGTATACGTTTCTAAAAGAGACGTGTATCCGATCTTTACATATTAACTAATCGGTAGTAAGCTTCTATTTCTTTTAAATCTATTAAATATAAGTCAGTCTTGAAATTACTAAACATTGACCACTGCGCACGAGAAGCTAAAAAAGCTTCTGTGTGTTGTGAGTACGGATATCTTTCAACGTAAACTGGGGTAATTTTCCTCATCTCTCCCAACATCATAGGGATGTGGCAGAGCACTTTGTGTAAGGACTTGGTAAACAAGCTTTGGCCAACCTCTTACATTTTCCTCCTGAGCAACATGTTGCTCAGTTGGAGCAATTAGAGGCTTTTGTGCTCGGACAGCGTAGAAAAGCGTCCGAGGAAAACAGCCAAGCCACCGCTGAGTCCATCACTAAGACTCAGGATGAGCTTCGGCTTGAGCAGGCACGTAATGAGGCGCTCAACAGAGCTGTTGAGACGCTCTCTGCCCGGCCTAATCAGCCAAGGCCCATTCGGATGGACCCTCCGAAGTTTGATGGGACTGCCCCACATATGATTGTCCACTGTCTTTTAGCCGTGGAGCAATGCGGTTATGGCGCAGCTCATCGAATACGGCGCCAGGATGGTGTCGTATGCCATGTCCAACTTGCGTGGCAAAGCGTCCGAGTGGGCTTACTCTGCGCTTATGTCAATGCCGATGCGTTTCCATCATAAACGATTTTTAAATCAAAGATTCGCGCCATGTCTCAGCCGCCTAACAATGAAGTGTTACTCCAGGCGCACTTCTTTGGAACACGACAGGCGAAGCGATCTTTGGAAGAGTATGTGCAGGAGATGCGTTCGTTGTCGGCGTCCATTCATATGGGTCCGATACCGGAAAGCATTAAGGTGCCTACGTTCATGAAAGGTCTACGGCACGGCCCATCGCGTCAGGCCCTTTTCAGAAAGGTGCCAGCGACGATGGAAGAGGCAATTGACATTGCCTTAGTTGAGGAGCAATCCTACAACAGCGCCTCGGCGACAGCCTATTACAGGCCGTCGTCCGAGAAGTTTGATGCCACTCCTATGGAGTTAGACAATGCAGATGTGATCTGCTACAAGTGCGGCAAGCGAGGCCATATGATGGCTCGCTGCTATGCCAAAGTAGCTGCTGGTGCTAAGGCAGCCAGCAAAAGGTCGCCCAACCCGAAGGGAGGTGCGAAATATCAGCGTGCACGACGCACGGGTTCAGCACCTGCCCAAGATGGGTCGGGAAATGCGGGAGCGCAGTAGGGGCGGGATACCCTACTGTCGCGGACTCTGAAGCTACCCCTAAGTTCAAAGTGATCGAACAAATAGGTAGCATAGTCTCTGAGGTTCCGAAAGGTCGGACCTCAACTCTTTTGGTTTATAGCGTTCGAGTACGAGGCTATGACCAAGTGATGACCCTTTTCGTGGATTCTGGTGCATCACAAAAATTTGTAAAACTCACGGCTCTGAAAAAGAGACCGGCAAGTTATGAGTCGCTTTGCCAGGATGGCAAGCGAGAAGAGGCGATCGTTCGTTTAGCGAACGGCGCGCTCGTTAAATTGGAGGAAGTTCAAGTTGAACTCGCTTTCAGCTTTAGTGACTTCTCATGTAAAGAGAAGTTCACATTGCTAGGTATGGAGAGTCCGTATGACCTTATCCTAGGCATGCCTTGGTTGGCTAAACACCAACCATGGATTAACTAGCGTACACGCACAGTCGCTAGCTCTACGCAAGACACCGGAAAGGATGTGCTCTTGCGAGAAGCTTATGTGGCTGATGCTGTGTCCAACACAGTCGAGGTTGCGATGACGGTATGTCAATCGACACCAGGAACTACCCAGCTCGAAAGGAGTGGTGTAGTTGGAAGTGCACTGGCGGAAAGCCAGGTGACACATATTCCTACCCAGGTCGAAAAGACTGGTGTAGTGAATGGGGCGATGACAGGTAGTCATGCGTCCGATGGTCCTGCACAGAGCCAAGAGCCTGTGGCAGTTGATGGTGGGCTGACAGGAAGTCAAGCGCCACAAGAACCGGCACAGAGACAAGAGCCTGGTGCGGTTGGAAGGAGTGCGTTAGCTGAGATATCAACGAAACCTTCTTCCAGGTCAAAGGTCGTGGTGACTCGAAGAACGAGCACCAGACGTATTAAGACGATCAAGGGCACGTCGAAACGAGTGACCCTTGGATCAGTCTCGGTCCAAGAGGACGGACCTACGAACGAGTTGTTTGAGGCCGTCGAAGACAAAATGCCGGAGGCATCCTCAGTTGAGGTGCTCCAACTTGTCTTGGCATCTGCCGAGGAGATAGTAAATCTCTCGGAGATGACGTGGGATCTGTTCCTCTCCGAACTAAAGGAAGGAAAGATCCACGAGATAGTCGCACCAGTTCAAGAAGAGAACGTGGTGGACTGTTGCGCTTCATCCACAATGGATGAGAGCGTCTTGGAGACCGACAAAAAGAAACGTTTCGCTGCTCAAGGCTGGGATGCCTTAAAGGACAGCCCGTTCTATGATGTTCTGTGGAAACACCGTGATGTGTTTCCAGCAGAAGTGCCGAGCCGCCTACCGGCCGATAGGGGCATCAGGCACGAGATTGACCTGGAGCCTGGCACCAAGTATTTTGTGACCAGGCAATGTCTGTTGCCGAAGGAACAAGTCGATTACATCGATGAGTTCTTCGACAAGCGAGCTAAGGCGGGACATGTACGTGAGAGCAAGTCGCCTCACTGCAGCCCTACCTTCTGTGTGCGTAAAGAAACAGGTGGATGGCGCGTGGTTCATGCTTATAATAAGCTGAACACGGCCACCATTCCGGCTCAAACGCCGATCCCGCGGAAAGATGCTTTGTTAAATTCCATGGGAAAGTCAACTATCTTTTCCGCTTTGGATCTGAAGGATGGCTACTATCAGGTTCTCATAAGAGATACCGATGTAGCCAAAACGTCAGTAAGCACCCCAAGCGGTATGCTGTGGGAGTGGCTTGGGATGCCACACGGGTTGAAAAATGCTCCAGCAACATTCAACCGAGTGGTGGCTCACGTGATGATTCAGCACCGTGCCTACGCGCCCTATTACTTTGACGATTTGTTCGTGCATAGTAGGGCGGAGGGCGGTCTGAGCACAATAGAGTCGCACAAGCGCCATTTAGACGCTGTGTTGCAGACTCTGGGTGACGCCCAATTATACGTTACCTTGCAAAAGTGCGAAATAGGGGTCCCTGAGATACCTGTGCTGGGCTGCATCGTAGGTAAACATGGTGTACGAGAAGACCCAGAAAAGGTAAAGGCTGTAAAGGAATGGACAGTCCCACGACACGTGAAGAATATGCGCCAATTTCTTGGAATCGCTAATTACTTGCATAAGTACATCAAGAATTATGCGGAGCAGACTAAGCCATTGTCTGACCTTTTGAAAAAGGATACAAAATGGACTTGGTCAAAGAAGCAAGAAGATGCGTTAACTTCAGTGAAGCAATCTCTTGTAGAGGCACCGGTCTTGGCATTGCCAGACGCGGATAAGCCCTTTAGCGTCGTCTGCGATGCAAGCAATTTTGCAATCGGTGGCGCGCTCATGCAAAAGGATGACAACGGCATTGACCGTGTCATTTCGTATCAGTCTCGGCTTTTGAAAAGCCGCAGACCTGAATTACCCTGTGAATGACAAGGAGCTACTTTCAACTAAGTATGCCCTTGTAAAGTTTCGGGTGCACCTCTTGGGCAACGAACCTTTTGTGGTTTATACGGATCACGCATCACTGCGGACCGCTATAAATTCACCGCACCTCTCTCCGAGAATGGCGAGATGGCTAACATTCTTCTCTGAATTTAATTCCAAAGTTGAATATAAGACGGATAAGTCGAATGTCTTGGCTGAAGCGTTATCGCGCAGACCAGACTTCGAGGCAAGACCCCAGGATAGTGTGTCTCGTGCTAAAGCACAAGTTGAGTCGTCAACATTGACAGCCATGAAGGACTACCATGTGACGAGCTCAATGGACTCCGATATCAAGGAGTGTTACAGTCAGAACGAACATTGTCGCCTGCTGTTTGATCATTTTGGTGGACGAAAGGTTACCCTTCCGTCGCACCTG